AGCGACAAGCGTGCTGCTCTAGCGACAAGCGTGCTGCTCTAGCGACAAGCGTGCTGCTCTAGCGACAAGCGTGCTGCTCTAGCGACAAGCGTGCTGCTCTAGTGACAAGCGTGCTGCTCTAGCGACAAGCGTGCTGCTCTAGCGACAAGCGTGCTGCCCTAGCGACAAGCGTTCTGCTCTAGCGACAAGCGTGCTGCTCTAGCGACAAGCGTGCTGCACTAGCGACAAGCGTGCTGCTGTAGCGACAAGCGTGCTGCTCTAGCGACAAGCAAGCTACTATAGCAACACTTGTATGCTGCTCTAGTAACATCCGTGCTGCTGTAAGCGCATAGATTGCTTGAAAAACCTGGAATCATAGACAAGGACGGATTTCGATGCTTTGATTTCTGCATCGAAATCTTTATATTAAAAGCAATTAGTGAGTTACATGTGGACGTTCGTGAGTGGTTCAGGAGTCGTGGGGAATTGCTGAGGAGTGCAGGAGGACGAGGAGACTTCCGAGGAGTTTATGTGTATGAGAATTATTGCTATCTAATTGTATATATCTATCTTATTGCTATCTATACAGGAGGATATGCAGGCTTACAAAAGAGAGCACAAGGGCGAGCAGGCTTGCTAAGGAGTGCACAAGGGCGTGCAGGCTTGCCAAGCAGTGCATGAGAACGTGTAGGTTTGCCAAGCAGTGCATGAGGACGTGTAGGCTTGCCAAGCAGTGCATGAGGACGTGCATATAATCTGCTGAAGACTCCATGATGTTTGGGAACTGTGCTGCAAACAGGGTTCGTTGGAGTAATTATCTGCACACTTTATTTACCATTCCACCGTGTGATCAAAAACTCATGAAAAATGTGTTGAGATTGACCAGTAAACTTCATTTCCTTTCTCCCAACAGGCGTTTATACGCTAGTGACTGACATAGCCATGTTAGCAGTGCCACTACCAGACACGCCTCCTCCCCGGCTGCTCGTGATGGGATGGACGGCGGGGAGCTGGGAGGCTGTGGCCCAGACGGTGCAGGCTTATGCACCCATCAGCAAGAGGTCAGTTGTGTAGTTGCCTGATGTGGGCCTAATGTTATCAGTAATACTCTGATAATATATAAGTAAGTAATATAATATAATATAAATTATTTATATATAATAATATAAGTAATATTTTGTTCACATAAGCACCACAATATGCATTGATTATTATTGCTGGTATTTTAGTTCCGTGGCAGGTTGATGGCGGACGAAAGGTCGTCGTCTGTTGACTGGAGACCCCCAATTTACGCCCAACAAAATTTAAAGAAGTACAATATAGCTTGTTAACAATTCTATTACAATGTACCAGTGAGCCATACATATCTTTTTATATATAAAAGGAACGTGAGGACTCCTAACTAACAATATTGTTCCCCTCTATTGATGCTACGACAGGTTACATGGTCTATGCAGTTACGAATAAATAGGCGCGTAACATTTATGTATAATTTATTCTGTTCAATTAACAATTTTGACCGCGACCATCATGATTGTCCGCTAAACGCAGCAACAATATCATGTTGACGTTGCAGCATTTCCTCCTTGTCGCACCCTGGGGGCACGTAGCCGCAGAGTTGCCGGAGGGGCAAGGGAGTGACTCCTTATTTCCAAGCGCGTGGATATTAGGAAACATTATTAAGAGAAATGAGAGGGTCCAAATAGCCCTTATACTCTCCAAGTTTGCTCTTTTGCGAGTCATCACGACCCAGTTTGACCTGCATCAGTGCTACGCTCTCTGATCGTGCTGAGTGTAAGAAAGAGGGTCACTATTTGGACCATTTGATCAATTCATTTTCTCAGTGAATGGGCTGCAGGCATAATAGCATGCGAAGTATTATCCCTTCCAGCAGTCAGTGGAATTAATTTATCCATTTAGTTGTAATGTTATTATATTGTATCGCAGGTACGGGGCCATTAAACTGAGTAGGCAACTAGAGTTGAGCGCGGAGGAGGTGCGACGGCTGCTGGCGCACCTGCACGAAGCTGGGATCAGGACAAGCGACACGGGCGCCACGCGCAGCGACATTGACGAGTGAGGATGTATGGGGTTGGGAGGGCTGTAGTGGGGGATGGTGTGGCGTTAGGATAGCTGCAATGGGGGATGGTATGGGGTTGGGAGGGCTGTAGTTGGGATGTCGTGGGGTTGGGAGGGCTACAGTGGGGGATGGTGTGGCGTTAGGATAGCTGCAATGGTGGATGGTATGGGGTTGGGAGGGGCTATAGTGGGGGATGGGGTGGGGTTAGGATAGCTGCAATGGTGGATGGTATGGGGTTGGGAGGGCTGTAGTAGGAGATGGTGTGAGGTTGGCAAGGCTGCAGTGGGGGATGGTCTGGGTTTGGGAGGGCTGTAGTGGGGAATAGTGTTGGGCTGGGAGGGCTGTAGTTGGGATGTCGTGGGGTTGGGAGGGCTGTAGTGGGGGATGGTGTGGGGTTAGGATAGCTGTAGTGGGGGATGGTGTGGGGTTAGGATAGCTGTATTGGGGGATGTTGTAGGGCTAGAATAGCTGTAGTGGGGGATGGTGTGGGGCTAGGAAGGCTATAGTGGGATGATGCGGGGTTAGGAGGGCTGTAATGGGGGATGGTGTGGGGGTTAGGACAGCTTCAGTAAATAGTACAACAGAATGGACGTTGAATTTGAAGCCGCAAATTGTTAGGTAGTGAAGGCACACGTTGCTTCCTCATGCCTGATGTGGGGTTAAGTAAGGCAACTTTAGAGACGATGTGCAGTGAGTTAATTTACAGTCACTACATTCACGGCGCGCGGGTCGTCGCAGTGACGTCCATTTCTTCTCTACAGTCATGGATGGCTTCGTCTTCGAATTTGCGGCGACCTGTAACTTCCTGCCCGAGACGTGGACCGAGCGAACGAGAAGTGGCGCCGGTTCTGGAGTTCCTGCATTGCTGGAACGCATAACGCGGACTGACCGTAATATCCTGCTGTATCCGTGGGTTGTTTATGCATGCCAGATGTCCTGTGACGTTGAAAGCAGTTAGTCATCATAATGTAGCTGAACTTTCCGCTTGAGGATTTCATGCTCTCCACGTCGGTAACCAAGTTTGATAAAATGCCACTGCAGGTGCTGTATTCCCTAGTTATCTTGACTATTTAGGATTGTTTTGATGTCTATATTAGTTGAGAGTTCCACACTTGTTCTCCAGGCTGGAAGGCCTCGCGAGCTTTATTGCTCGCCTGCCAAGCCATGCCAACGCTAAGCATGGCACGTCCGTATCCATGTAACGTGTCCATATTTGCCGCGTGCAGGCGGCCTCGTTATTGATTGCATCTTCACTGTAATGATTTATTCGCTCTTGTTACTTATTAACAATTTTTACTTGAAATTAAAGGGAGTATTTCCGTCAAAAATCTTAAAATTTAGACTTTTCCATTTCTTATGCAAACGTAGAAGAACTGCGTCAAGGAACTGCGTATTTAAAGAGCCCATGCAAAGCCAAGTTTGTGCGTTCATTTGTTCATTCACGAGAGCCAAGAAAGCGCAAGTAAGACCTATATCTTCAATGATCAAAAATTTCTGTTCTTTAGCTCTCCTAAAAACTTTATATTTTCATCTTAAAAATCTATCTCCTCCTATGATTTTTAAGCTACAACATTGAAAGATATGCCATTCGATTTGTAAAAAATGTCTACCGATTCCTTGTAATTTTTTTTCGATTTCGTTGAATTATATACTTGAAAAACGGGCGTGGCGCGACGAGAAACTGAAAACAATTCCTCCTACCCAAAAAATAGACTGTGAAGAAGTTATCGGGGGATCGCTAAATATGGTGTTTAAGAATCGAATGAAGGTATATCTATCGATGTACTTTCATGAATTATTTACTTATATTGTTTTGAACCTACTGATTATATAATTATTGTTATGATTACTTTATTCGTGATTCAATTTGCTTCATTGTTCTTCCTTTGTTTCAAGAATAAACGATTCGAGTTGCTAAATCGCAGCTTTATTATCGTTCCTTCTTTTCAAGAACAAATGAGTTGAGTTGCCATGTCGTATTTCCCTGTTGTGCCAATCGTCTCAAGTTATTGCGAACATTTTTGTTCACAGAAACAAATTGGCTAACTAAGCATCAGTAAATTCACTAGCTTGTAATTACTGAAAGGGAACACTGGAACCAAATTATCGCACGTTATTTTTCAGTTGCGTATGATATTAATTAGTTTCTGGTCTCGTATGTGGTCAGCATATATGAAATTTTCAACATCAACATATCTAGTGCAGGCAATGATAACAAGAACTCTTAATTTTTTCTCATAACTTTTTCCGCAACAGACATATAGCCTCGAAAGTCTTTACCAAAACGTGACCCTTCCCCTGTTGCTCATACTCGAAAAGTTTCAGTTTTGGAAATTATCTCGAGATTTGATAAATGTTATATTCCATGTGAAAAGCCTTGAATGCCTAATAATTTAGATCTACACAGAAATTGAAAATAATGTTAAAAATAGCGAATATAAGGGCCATAGTGAATTACTCAAATCGGATGTTTATTGAAATTTATATTATGTCATCAAAATACTCCAAATTGACATTTAAAGGATAATATGAAATTGTGCGAGAACCACGAAAATCCCTATCGTCACTATACGGACTTTGGCATGAATGAGGTATCTGTTGCTGTTTTTTATTAGTCTTGAATGACTATAGATCAAGCTAGAGGATCCTGTAATATATTCATTACTATAAATGGTGAGTTTTTTCTGTACGCGAAATAAAGGTGTCTTATTAGAAATCCGCAGTTTAAACCCAATCTAGCCGATAATGAGAAAAGTTGTAAAAATGTAGACAATTATATGGCTAAAACTTAAGTATATTATTCATAGGACCTATACTGAGCTCTACGGGTGTAATGCTAAAAAGGCATCCGGCACGACGCCACTCTGCAGTTTCCGCAGCTTAAAAATATCTTATTATAGAAAGCATAAAACTATACTGGAAACAATTTATAAATTGATAATTGATTTGCACACGATATTCCATTGCGCGCGAAGCTCATTGTAGAAAAAATTTGAATGCTTAGACACATTTAGAAAGATATCAAAAATGTGGAAGAAAATTAGAACGACAAGGGACTGACAAATTATTTGTTATCTTTCATTTGTTGGTTACTTAAGTAAGTTAGAGGTCAGCAAAGGTCCAGGCTTATTTGGGGCAGCAACAATAAAGTAATAAATCTAAAAAATTTCCACAGTCTTCAGTTAAATTCCATGATTCACCGTAAAGAACCACACTTCGATTTTGCCTACGACGCATCTAATTAATTTTCATTTATGAAGCAATATTTCTCTATTCGTAGTTTTATATGTTTAGATCGGGAACGGCTTATACATAGATTATACGATTTCTAAGAAAAGTCAATAGACCCAATGTTTATAGTTAGAGTCTTATCTTTGACAGCAAAAGCTTCGGTAAGACTTATTGAATTCATTATCGGAGCTGCTGTCGACAGTTTTTTGTTCATGAAAACTTAAATTATTATCTCAGATGATTTATGCAAATAGGCAATACAAATTCGATTTGATTTATTTCTGTAATATGTATTATTGACATATACTGTTTTTTTATGAGAGTACGTGATAGATATTTATACCGCGATGGCAACCCAATTGAAACAGTCTGCAAAATCATTGTTAATTTAATATTTCACTATTCAAATGAATGATGAAGCTATAATGATTAAAATTTTTCGAATTCGGAAGAACGCCATATAGAAAAATAGTTCCATTATAATTATGAGTCTAATACTTTTGTAGTGGGTATATAATGGTAGCCCTTACGTTCAATGATCAGAAAAACCGTTCGTCATATTAAAAAGCTACATTTCTTCCAATTCTATTTTCCATAAATAAAATATTCACAATATATTTAGCATAATATTATAGTAATGAAACATAAAAACTCTACACTATTAACTCATAAGCTTATTAGCATTAAGTACTTAACATATTATAATGAATTCAATATTATTCCATTGCCATATTGCTATTAACTCATAAAATTCCATGTGAAATTCCATTATTAAATCAAAAACATATTCATAATATGTTTTTGCCATTTAACCTTGCAATTATATAAACAATCCTAAAATGGCTAGTAATGACCTCGAGACAGGCCAGAGGAATATTTTATGAAGCAGGAAAGGAATTACACCGCTTTGAGTGTTATCTTATGCATATCTTGACATGTTGATAAGGTTTGACACGTACCAGATTATTGTCGAATTTACTCACAAACAAATTACCTCTCCTAAAATAATTTAAAATGCATGCACGGCCTGTTGTTTGCAAATAAAATGGGGAAACGATTAGGATACAAATACTTGATTTTATTTTATCGTGTATTTGAATTAATGAATTTAGGAATTGTGTCGCAATTTTTCTTCACGAGGAGACGAGCTTATACATATATGCAGCTAACGCAATTTTTGCACTATTCTACAATTAAGGAAATAAGGAATTATTGATTAATAGTTTTGATGATAGTGCAGGTGAAATTGAGCGGTAAATTACGATTTTTCCACTGTAAATGGGAAAAGCTTTTAATCAAAATTTTACTTCCAGTTTAACTTTTGAAACTTTTTCGGAATGGCTACACGTTTATGTTTATGAATCGGACATGTGCTTAAGGCTGCGAGAAAACTAAGCGAATTTCCAGAGTTTAATTCAGTCTTTGCGAAGGATGCTACCGCTTTAGAGAGAGAAAATATTCGCAAGAAATGGCAGGAGAGACTCAGGCGGAAAAACACGGAGACTCAGGTCAACCATTTTTACGATGTCAAGACAACACCGGCCGCACACGGTCAGTCAGCGGAGCTGGAAGACAAGTAGGAAGTCATGTCCATAGATCCTGGCCTGTATATAATGTAAGAAGTAAACACATGCATTAAAGTGAAAGTGCACAAATAGCTTTCACATGTTTTTACACGAACTCGGATTCGGTTTTGAACAAAATAAGTGAACTATTAACTGTGATCGAAAACGAGTGCATAGACATTATTTGTATTACAGAAACACTCCGTAAAAATCACGATGGGAAATTGTACCTGTTAAATTTCATTTGACAGGTTTTGATTGTTTTCATAGCTTAAATGAAGAGCAGTGCAGAAGAGGTGTAGCCTTATGGGTTAGAACCTCATATGGGGCCCAGCAAGTCTGCAATATATCAATCAGCTAGAGAATAATTGTGGTGCGAACTTTCTCTCAAAGGCAAAGATAGCCTCCTCATAGGCGTCGTTTATAGATCACCAAACAGTTCTTCTAATAACGATAAAGTATAAAACAGTCTTTTACCGAGCATGACTGTCCGTAGGTCACACACGTCGATCGTTGGTGATTTTAATCATCCAGAGGTAGACTGGATAGATGGATCCTCTCCAAGGGAAGAGAATCACCCAGCATCCATATTCATGGAGTCAGTAAGAGATTCCTTCCTAGTCCAGCACGTTACCAAACCAACCCATTACAGAAGTAAACAGACTCTCAATATTCTAGCCCTTTACGCCCTGGCGTGACGAATTCGTCACACCAGGGACTAGCTACCTTTTCCAACAATTTCACGTTTTCTGTCATTTTTTCGAAAAAAATTCACGTGAATAAAAAAAGTCTTAGATTTATTTTTCACATATGTGTACCAAGTTTCACAGTTATGTGTCAGTAAGTAACCGAAATAAAATTTCCAATTTCCAATGGCAATGTCCAATTTCTTATGGAAATTCTATTTCGATTAATTACTGACAGATAACTTTGAAACTTGGTACACATATGTAAAAGATAAATCTAAGACTTTTTTGTTCGTAAGAATTTTTCAAAAAAAAGTGAAAGAAAACGTGAAATTCTTAGAAAACCGCCAAAAAGGGGGTATTGTAGAATGATGAATGTCCTCCAATGATTAGATGTCCTCCTCCTTAGAATGTCCTCCAATGATTTTCAAGCTACAACATCGAGACGCATATCATTCGGTGCGTAAGGACCATATCTATCGATTGGTCCTTGCTATTTTTCGAAATTCTAATTTTTGTGGGTGGGGTGGGCATTTTTCAAAAAAAATTTATTTCTCCCCCCACCCTTTCGAATTTCCCCTCCCTTTTTTCAAAATATTTTCAAAACTTTAAAGAAATTGAAAAAAAGCTTCGACTAATCTCTAGATCTTTTATTTGCGAATTGAACGGTTTATTACTCATTGCTGTAGCTTAAAAACTCTGGGAGGAAATAGGTTTGCAGTGACAATAAGTGTGAATGTTCAGTAGAGCGCGACAAAGTCCCGAGCGCCTCGAAATAGGCATTCAAGGTGACATGGATGCAAGACTAGACATTACTGGAGCCGAAATTCAGTCAAGGATGGTGGGAACGACTGCATGAGCACCATCCCACACGACAGCAGCCGGGTAACTAAAGATCAGCGTCTTCAGGTTGTTTCAGGTTGCATATTTATGTGCCCAACCAGTAATTTTCGCCTATATTAAATGTGAAAGAACTCCCCCACCCCTAACACTTTCACGAACTGTCGTCAAGGCATAAATCAACGTACAGAGATG